GCACCCATGTGGCTAGTCCAGTTCAGTTTCTGGTCATTCGTAACAGGATGTTAGTAGTGGGGGATTTAGCGATGCTGAGCCTTGGAGACAAAAAGATAATTTATTATAGAAGATTTCCAAAAATTATATACAGAGGTAGCCAATGCTTTCATGCATTTGACATAATGAAATGATACCCAAAAAGATGTACAGAGTTCCAAATTACTGTGAACGATTAGCAGAAGAAATATTTCTATGATAATCAAGAATGCTGATCTTACAATGGAAGAGTAAGCCCTTATTAATAATGGAGATTGCCTGTACATTGATAATAATCTTTTGAAAATACATGAGAAATCAAATGCTGGCCTTTAACCTTCAACAGCTAGCAATTTGAAACACTGAACTGAGATTAAGACTGGTAAACAGGTGACTTATTCTATATTTCCTGTTATTGTTCAATTTGCCATACAGCCTACAAACCATAGTGTTACACAGGAACTACTTAAGAATCTTGGCTCACCTGCCTATTTCCTTATTAACAATGATGCACTTCAGCTTCCTGATGGAGTTCCAGAGATGTTCTTTCCTCAGCATCACTCTGAAACAAGTATGGAACTGATATCACTTCCTACAGAAAGTCTCACACCTACTCTACAAGTAGTAAGGAGATCCTCAGTTCCTCAGCTCCAGACTGTTCTTTGTTCTTATTATTGTCCACCAGATTTATTTCTGCCTCAGAGTGAGCCACAATGGACATGGAACAGAATTTTAGTTCCTCTTCTTCTTTTTCAATGAGTTGTGATAGCCCAAGTGAAGGACAGTTGCCTGTTCCAACCATTTTTTTCTTGGTCTGTAGAGTCCAAGAACCAGTCGTCCTCAGAAGCTGCCATCCTAGTCCACCCTCTGTGTTCACCTTTTAAGACAGTAATAAAGGAACTTGTCCCTGTTACGCATCCTCCTAGAGAGCTGACAACATTGCTGGAGATTAATGCCTCAAGCAAAACTGATTTGCAGGAGAGAAAAAGTCAGAGTAAATAGTTAAATGTTGATGATTAAAAGGGGTACGGAGAATGAACTTGGAGTAATGAAGTAAAGGATTAACTGTGCCTTTACTCTAAGAATAGCTACAGAACACATGCAGAAGAAGTTATGTCATAGCTATGACTTACATATCAGATGATATGGAAGTGAAGTCTGAGTGTACGGAGTTCCAGGAGATTTCCTTTCTTACCATCCCTTGCATACAGTTATTTTTGATAAAGTCTGTCAATGTTCAATAATCTGAATGAAAACCCAATGTTGTTACATTCTGAGGAAGGGTCACCAGACCCGAAATGTTAACTCTGATTTATTTTCACTGATGCTGCCAGACCTGCTGAGCTTTTCCAGCAACTTCTGTTTTTGTTTCTGATTTACAGCATCCACAGTTCTTTCTGTTCTTATTACAATCTTGATAAGTGTAAAAATGCAAATATGATCGCTTTTAAAACCAAAATGAATTTTTTAATAGAAATATTTCATTGCACGTACATCACTGGCAAAGCCAGAATTTTTTTTTAAATTTCTATCATCCCCTGACATATGTGTTAAAGGACAGCAGTTAAAGCACAGCTACTATAGCCAAGACTTCCAATGAATTAATTGAATTGAATTGAAGTGAGAGTGTTCGGAAGGCCAACAGAAGATATTATTTCAGATCATGTTGTAGGTTTACTAATAGATATTAAGCCAAGTGAGGGACAGTTTACTCTGGGCAAACTCACCATTTGTGAATGACAGTTCTTTAAGGATTTCCTCCTCTCGGGAAACATCCAGAGTGAAATCTATGAAGGTCGGTTCTGCAGCTGGCTGGAATGTCTTAAGGGATTCAGTAGCCATTCGGATCCTAAAGCACAAAGAACACAAAAGAAAAATGAAAAACGATGCTTCTCAAGTCAAAGTTGATTATAAGACAAGGCAACAGAGATAATTCTTTTTCTTTTTCTCAAAATGTCTCCTAGCAACCGGCCAATGGTTTTGCTCCATTGAAAACAGTAGATCCAATGTTGTTATATTTACAATTCTATTTTAGAACTGAACACAGAAAAATTACATCAGAGATAGTAGGAATTGCAGATGCTGGAAAATCTGAGATAACAAGGTATAGATGGAGGGTCTAGGCCCGAAACGTCAGCCTTCCTGCTCCTCTGATGCTGCTTGGCCTGCTGTGTTCATCCAGCTCTACACCTTGTTATCACAGAAAAATTACATTTTATTTCAAAATACGCTGATGCAATTTTATTAAAATATCTCCTGCTCCAAGAACCATATTAAAAAGGATTTGAATAGATTGTGGATCCAATAGAATTCAAAGCTGTTAGGATTCCAGTGATATGAAACCCCTCCTGATATGCTGCCTCCCATGTCACATCACCGCCTAGATAGCAGGACAACATTGTCTTCAGTGTAGGTTTTCAGTGCTCTTCAGTGCACTTTTTAGTAAGGAATTGATATGTTATGATGGAGAGTGGATATCGCTGGTCAGACATTGGACACAATGTAATAGTTTTGATAAGCAGAATAGCCTATTGATTGATTTTCTTACATTTTCAAAAGTAAAGAAAGAAAATAAGTACTCTGTAAGAGGACAAGTGTGCTAGATCAGACAAGTGAAAAGAAATAAGAATGGAAGATAGGGAATGATGGGGCAGAGGAAGATACACACTATCTTTAATCGGTACAGGTAAAGGTATTTCTCACTGGTTTGAAAGAGGTCAAAGAGAAAACGGAGGTTGGATAGGGGAGAATGGGCAATGTACATACCAGAACATAGAAAGCAAAATCGGTTCGGTGCCTTTTCCTCCATGATGGACAATGTTAGTGTGAGTATGGTGCCTTTGAAGCATTAAAATATCAACCATGCATCATGTTGCAAATCAAGTCTTTTAGTCTTGAAATTCCACCTTATGCATAGAAACACGCAGAAGCTACAACATCAAGACAAGCCATCTGGCCAAATAATCTGTGTCACTACTTACATCCATGTGAGCGTTAGAGTTTGATAACTTTGAAATTGGAGATTCTGTGGAAACTCTCCGAAATGTGGCCATTTGGAATGGCTCAAACCTATGTCCCATTTATTTTCAAAAGAATGACCTACATGATTCCCATTCTTTAAAGTGTCCAACAGTAGTTAAATAGCAGCAGTTTGCTGTTGTATAACTCTGAAAGTGGTAATGTTACAGTGTAGTAAGCACAGTCTTTGGACAGGGAAACAGTTAATCTTGCATATGATCCCAATAGAGATAAATGTGATATACCTGTCTCCTGATAGTAGTAAGTATGTCTAACTTGTTAATATGAATTGCGCCTACTGCTACCATGAAACAAATACCTTGTTTTGTATGACAAGTGCCTCTTCTTGTTAAGAATCTGTAGAGGTCTATCTACAAATTCTGATAATTAGAAAGACCCCTAGACTCTGCCAAGAAAGGAGGATTGGTAGCTGTGAAATACCCTATCCACGAGTCATCAGTGATTGGTCACAAAAGGCTATAACATTCTCCGTCCCCAAAAATATATTTCCACATTGGGGTTACATACAAAGAGACCCATTCATATGTTGTAATGAAATGTCAGTTACCAAAGAGTTACCCAATGAACGGTAAATTCCACAGAAAATTTGACATTATTCTTGCTGTCAGAACAAAACAAAAATATGGATGGTGTGTTTTATCTTTGTCACTTGGACAGTGAACTAATTTCAATGGAAATGAAAACCGGCTAATTCTATAATGGGAGAGTGATCGACTTAATCAGTTGATTTCCCAAGCAGTGAAGGGAAAATGACTCCTCTGTTTATTACGTGTTAATTTTTGAATGTTAAAAGAATCAAAATAGAAGGTCCTTCAATCTTTCTGAAAGTTTAGGAAAGGCTTACTGAAAGATGTCATTGTTACAAATAGGTAGAAAAATGTAAAACCTTTTACAAGCAGCGGAAAATGATAGCTTTTTGGTAAACCAGGTGATAAAAGAATATGGAGTCAAGATATGCAAATAAGCAATCATCTCATTTATAGATTGAATAGTCTCGAGAAGATGAATTGCCTATTTCTTTTCTACATTTTTGTGTTCCTGATTTTACTATATGCCCCTGACCAAAATCATTAAGTAGGGCTATAGTGATTGTAACAAGGTCAGCTAGCTAGACTGCATAGAATATGAGTTCCCTAATTAGGGTTATTAATCTGTCTGACACATAAGAAGGGTAAATTTCAGAGATACTGTCAAGGACAGTTCATGTGTAAACAAAGGGTGACTTGGTGATGGGATACTGGCCTCTGTGGAGTTATTTAAAGTATTGGAACAAGCTTGTGTTTTATCTGTAAGCTAGTGAGGTGTGGAGAGTTTGTGACATTCCTCACTCCAAACTTATTGCAGTTGCACTGAAACTGAAACAATATTTCAAGTAACTGGGACTGCTTGGAAACAAAGCAATGTCTAACAGACATTTTGAAATATGTATGGAAATCTCTGAGATGGGTTGATGTGATATTTAATGATGGAAGGCCACTGTTGGCTAGTACTACTCATTTCTAATTCTACACTAAACGTTGTTTGAGCAACAAGTATGGTCCAAAGGGCTACAGCCTAATTTCCTACTTTAAATTCAATATACAGATGGACTGAGCTAAATCAATTTAACAGGACAGCATTTGTAAATTTCATTTCAGTTTCACCGGGAATAAAATAAATCAAATGTTTCTGTTTTCCTGCTTCAAGCAATCTGAAAGTTTATAGCAATTCTTAGAGATAACTGTAATTCAATAAAGTAAAGTATACCTAGAGTATCAGATCAATTATTTCTGCTCCTGGCCATGGTGACTGATGATTATTAGCCATGACACAGAGAGCATAGGCCTGAGTGAAAGCTGTAAGATCAGAGATGATACGAATATGAACACAGCAGGACAGAACAACATAGAACATGAGAACCAGGAGCAGGAGTAGGCCATCTGGCCCTTTGAGCCTGCCCCACCATTCAATAAGATCATGGCCTCAGTTTCACTTACTCACCCTCTCACCATAACTCTTAATTCCTTTATTGTTCAAAAAATTATCCATCTTAGCTTTAAAAACTTTCAATGAGGAAGCCTCAACGACTTCACTGGGCAGGGAATTCCACAGATTCACAACCCTTTGGGTGAAAACATTCCTCCTCAATTCAGCCAGGTTCCCCTAATTTTGAGGTTATGTCCTCTCATTCTAGTTTCACTTGCCAGTGAAAACATCCTCCCCGCTTCTCTCTTATCTGTTCCCTTCATAATTTTATGTGTTTCTATAAGATCCCCCCTCATTCTTCTAAATTCCAATGAATATAATCCTAGTCTATTCAACCTCTCCTTATATGCCAAACCTCTTAACTCTGGCATTAGCCTAGAGAATCTCCTCTGCAGCCCCTCCAGTGCCAATACATCCTTTCTCAAGTAAGGAGACCAAAATTGCACACAGTACTCCAGGTGTGGCCTCACCAGCACCCTATACAGCTGCAACATAACTTGCCTGCTTTTGAACTCAATCCCTCCAGCAACAAAGGGCAAAATTTCATTTGCCTTCTTAATTACCTGTTGTACCTGCTAACCAACCTTCTGCGATTCATGCACAAGGACACCCAGGTCCCTCTGCAGGGCAGTCTGCTGCAATTTTTTACTGTTCAAGTAATAGTCCCTTTTACTGTTATTCCTACCAAAATGGATAACTTCACATTTATCAACATTGTATTCCACCTGCCAGACCTTTTCCCAACCATTTAAACTATCTATATCAATCTGCAAATTTCCAGTGCCCTCTTTGCTCTACCCTCATGTTAGTGTCATCTGCAAAATTTGTCACATTTCACGAGGTCCCCAACTCCGAATCATCTATGTAAATTATAAACAATTGCAGTCCCAGCACTGATCCCTGAGGTACACCACTAATCACAGTTCACCAACCAGAAAAATACTCATTTATTCCGACTCTTTGCTTTCTGTTAATTAACCAATCCTTGATCCATGCCAATACATTGCCTGTAATGCCATGCACCTTTATCTTATGCAGCAGCCTTTTGTGCGGCACCTTGTCGAATGCCTTTTGAAAATCCAGATACACCACATCTACTGGGTCCCCGTTGTCTACTGCGATTGTAATGTCTTCATAGAATTCCAGCAAATTAGTCAAGCATGACCTGCCTTTCATGAACCCATGCTGCGTCTGCCCGATGAGGCAATTTCTATCTAGATGTCTCGCGATTTCTTCCTTGATGATAGATTCAAACATTCTCCCCCATACAGAAATCAAGCTAACCGGCCTATAATTCCCCATCTTTTGTCTACCTCCTTTTTTGAACAATGGCATCACATTGGCTGTTTTCCAATCTGCTAGAACTACCCCAAGGTCCAGCGAATTTTGGAAAATTACTATGAGTGCGTTTGCTATTACTCGTACCATCTCTTTTAGTACCCCAGGATGCATTCCATCAGGGCCAGGAGACTTGTCTACTTTTAGCTCCATTAGCTTGCCCAACACTACCTCTTTTGTGATAATGATCATGTCTAGCTCCTCACCTACCTTAGTCTCTTTGTCATCAATTACTGGCAAGTTATTTGTGTTCTCCACTGTGATGACTGACACAAAATACCTATTCAATCCCTCAGCTATTTGCTCATTTCCCATTATTAAATCCCCCTTCTCATTATCTAAAGGACCAATGTTTATCTTAGCCACTCTTTTTTTTGTTTTATATATTTATAGAAGCACTTGCTACTTGTCTTTATATTCTAAACTAGTTTAGCCTCATAATCAATCTTACTTTTCATTATAGCCTTTTTTGTGGCTTTCTGTTGACCTTTAAAATTTTCCCAGTCT